GGCTGCGAGTGAGCGCACAGCTGGGACTTCCTCGAGACCAACGAGGCCTGTGGGGCTGTCCCCAGGCCACTAGGTCAGGCTGGGCTGGTGGCTACAGGGCCGCGTGGCAGCCAGACACCCCCAGATAGTGTTTAACCACCATGGGTAACTCACACTGCTCACTTTAACCATTTCTTCCCTTTTTCAGGGTGGGGAGGGTGAGATAGGATCTCACTATGTAACCCAGGCTGGTCTTGAACTCATGGCGATCCTCCTGCCTCAGCCTCCCCCAAGTGCCGGAACTATAGGTGTGTACCGTCACACCGGTTCATTTTAACCATATTTTATGTGCCCGGCTCCACAGCGTTGACCACAGCCCCATGGCTGTGCAGCTCTCGCGGCCGTCCACCTTCAGCCCTTTTTTACCTTCCTAAACTGAGCCTGTCCCAGAAAACACTGGCTTCCATTCCTTCCCAGCCCCCACACCTGAGTCCCCTTCCTGTCTCTGGAGTCGCCTGTCCCAGGCATTTCCCATCCTGAGCCCACACCGTGCATCTTCCGTATCTGGCGTTTCCCACTGAGCATGGCGTCCTCAAGGTCCAGCCACTGTGCAGCGAGTGCCACAGCTGGGCTGCTGTTCCTGCCTGAGTAGTATTCCAGCGCAAGGCAGTGGTGTCGCCCACTCTGGGCCCTGGGCCATCCCCCCTTTGGCCTGCCGTGAGCTCCGCTACTGAGAGCATCTATTGGCACACCATTTTCGAGTCAGTCAGGTGGACCCCTTGGGACGGAGGAGAGCAGCGTGATGGTCCTGTACCTAGTGTTTCGAGGACCCTCCCGGCTCTTTCCTGCAGCGGCTTTCCCACGTTGAGGCCTGTCCCACCTGGCACTAGGGCCTTCCGGTCTCTCCACATGAGCAGCCAGAGACTTACAGAACATGCCGGCCGCGGTGCCGCACACCCACCATCCCGGCACTTGGGAGGCTGAGGCAGGAGGATTGCACGTTGCAACCCAGCCTGGGAAACTTAGCAACTTAGCAAGACCCTGTCGCAAAATAAAAAATGAAAAGGGCTGAGGATGCAAAGGCCCTGGATTCTTTCTGTAGTACTGGGGAAAAACAAATACACACTGGCTCAGTCATGCCTGGCACTGCTGTAGAGTAAGCCTGAGCTTTTCCTTGTGGCCTGAGTGGCCTGGAGGGAGCTCCATCCTCTTACCTCCTTGCGTTGGCCCTGGTGCCCACGCTTGCTCTGTGGCCCCTCTGTGGCCTTCCCATGTCCGCCCACCCCTGCCCCAGGACCTTTGCACTTGCTGTCTGGGACGCAGCCAGCTCCCAGCAGGAGGCAGAGCTCTTGGCCTGTGGAGCCGCCCAGGCCCCTGCTGTCCTGCCATTTCCCTGTCATCCGCCAGTGGACTCGGGGGCCCTGTGGCGACCTCCAGCCACAACCCAGACCGGGACCAGAAGAAGCACAGCCTCCAGGACAGAGGAAGGGCCGGGCTGCAGCCACTGCCACAGCGCCTTTCTCCTGAGCTGTGACAGACCAAATTTGGGCCCGTAGCCACAGACAGGAAGGAACAGTCTGTACGCTGAGCAGCGCGGCCCAGTTTACATTGCTGTCGCTGCCCGTGATTGCGTGTTTGTGTGAGCAGAGCTGTAGGGGGCGTGGCCGTCTGGGCCCCACAGAGTCCCCACCCAGACTTGGGATGTGACCAAGCAGCTGCCAAGGGCCAGGATCTCATTTATACTAGCATGAGTGTGACTGTCTTTCTTTTTTTCTTGTCTTTCGGTATTGGGGATTGAACTCAGGACCTTGTGCTTGCCAGGCAGGCAAGTATGCGGCTGAGCTGTCTCCCTCAGCCAAGTGTGACTGTCTTTGCTGAATGCCTGGCACTTAGAGACCTCTGTGTTCACTCCAAGGGGGAGATGTTTGGGGAGTGAGGAGCCATGAAACCTAGAGATGGCCAGTGCTTTTTCTGCAGCTGCACAGCAACAGGGGGGAGCCCAAACCTGCTACCTCACTTACTCTACCCATCTGCAGCGAACTTGTTAAAAACTCCTTTAGGGGACTTCAGGTGAAGACACCCTGGTCCTCCAAAACAGAGAGATTTGCAGAAGGCCTTAGAGAGATTGTTCAGGGATGTACATTTATAGAGCGCCTACTGTATACCAGGGACCAGAATGGGGTGGGATGGGCGGCATGCGGCCCTCGGCCTCTCTGCCCTGTGAAGCTTCGCTGGCACGGGCAGATCATAGATCTGTTTGTACCCTGTGACCATACCTGTGACTTGTGCATTTAAAACATTTCGCCACCTTCCCCTGCCCCACAGCCAGGGACACAGGGACAGGCCCAGGCCTGGTTATCATGCTCGGCTCTGTGTGCTCTGTGGGTGTCCCGGGCCCTGAAGGGTGCTGAGCAGTGTCCCTGGCCCCACCTGCTCCAGGCCAGGGGCACCCCCAGTGTTACAGCTACAGATGTCCCCAGACACGGCCCAGGAATCCCCCAGGGGGCAGAATCACCCAGGAGAGGAATCGTGAGTGAGGCAGAGCTGTTTCAGGGGGGCACTGCTGCCCTGGGCCTCAGCCAGCCCCCTACCCCAGGGAGCACCTCAGGGAGCTGGACGTTAGCCGGTGTGTGGCCCTTCCAGCCCCACACCAGATGGACGCAGAGCGCTCTGCGCTCCTCATGGCACATGGGAGTGTGTGGATGTCAGGACGCTTTTTCTCTTCTAAGGATTTTGGTACAGACAGCGACTTCTCACTGAGTTGCCTAGGCCTGGCTTGGCTCAACTTGCGATCCTCCTGCCTCTGCCTCCCGAGGGCCAGGCTGACAGGCGTGTGCTGGGCCGGGCCTCTCCCCCTTCTGTGTGGCCTGCAGGCAGGGGCTGTGGTTCCGGTTACTTCCTGGCCTGTGGGGAGGCGCAAGGTGCGGGCGCAGGCACAAGCCCTGGGCATGGGCTCAGCGGGTGTCCAGGGAACATGGCCTCCTCCAGGAAGCGCTGGCAGTGCCAGCTGGGCAAGCCAGACTTCAGAAGAGGGTCCTGTGCCGAGGTCTGGCGGCCGGTTGCCCAGCTGGGTCCTTCCCAACACAGTGGCCCGGCCACAGCATCCAAGTGGCCTGGCTGGCTCCGAGGGCCGCACTGCCCAGGTGGAGAGCCACCAGATCTCCTCGAATCAGCCCTGCCTAGCTTCAGTCAGGGGCAAAGCCCAGCTGAGCGAGGCTACCCCAGCGCTGCTCACCTGGACTGGGGAGCTGAGGCCTGGGATGCTGCCATGCTGCTTGAGGCCGTGCCCGTGCCCGTGCCCGTGCCCGTGTGTGTGTGCATGCGCGGTGCTGGGACAGAACGCAGGGCCTTTGCACTGAGCTCCATTCCCACCTGTTTTTAAACTTTGAAACAGGGCCTCACTAAGTTGCTCCATTGCCTGGGCCAGGGTGGAACTTGAGATCCTCCTGCCTCAGCCTCCTGGAGTGCTGAGATGGTAGGCACGCAACCCCAGGCCTAGCTGTGTCCAATACAGACCAGTTAGCAGCTCCCGCCCCGGAGATGAAGAGCATCGAGTCCTGGGTGGGCGCCCCTCACTGTCACCCTGTTTTCCTCACCCAGCAGCAGTGCTGGGTTGAAGGCTGTCTTTAGGGTATAACATGAGATAAAGAAAATACCGTACTCATGGTTGTCTTGAAGATATAATAATAATAATAATAATAATAATAATAATAGCTAGGTCCGGGGACGCATGCCTGTCATTTCAGCACTCTGGGAAGCTGAGGCAGAAGAATCTCAAGTTTGAACCCAGACTGGGCAATTCAGCAAAACCCTGGCTCAAAATTAAAAAAATAAGGGGCTGGTGAGATGGCTCAGTGGTCTAAAGCTCCTACTTAGAGCAAGCTTAGCAAAGCACAGGGACCGCGGTTCAATCCCCAGCACCACATGCCGGCCAGCCCTGCCCCCTGGTGGGCTGAGCTGGACACACACACACACACACACACACACACACACACATAAATAAAATTTTAAAAAAATACATTAAAAAAATAAAAAGGGCTGGGGGTACAGCTCAGCGCGAAGGCCCTGGGTTCCACCCCCAGGATTGCAAAATAAATAAAAGAATAAGCCAAACGCTATTCCTGCTCATGCAGCGGACACTACTGCTTACAGGGACCTCCGTGTCCCCCAAGGGCCCCTTATGTGCGCTGTGCCTACCACCTTCATCACACAGCCCACAGTGCCCTGCATGGTGACACGCGCAGCCCAGACACTGCAGAGGGGCCAGTGCCGAACCCCGACTGCAGGAGCTGAGAATGCTGAAATGCTGAGCTCAGCGACTCTCGTGTGCTCACTCTTGTGCTTGCTCTCTCTCTCTCTCTCTCTCTCTCTCTCTCTCTCTCTCTCTCTCTCACTCTCGTCTGCCAAGTAGCCTGATTATTTTTAGATAAGATGGAGAGAAAGCACCGGGCGGATGAGGGCACTGCAGCCGCAGACAGCTGCCCCTCGGCTCCCGGAATAAGAGCCGGAGACCAAGGGCCAGGTCCCCAGGGCCACAGGGGCAGAAATGGAGGCCAGGAGACCAGAGAGGCCCAATGAGTCACCTCTACACCACCTGTAAAACAGACGGAAGATTAACGATGCTGAATGAAGAGTTGTCCTCCTGGAATTAGCTTCATTTCTCAGGAACACTCAGAGAGGGCAAGGGACTTGCCCAGGGACACACAGCACAAAAATAGCAAAGCTGGAGCCAGTTGTCCAGGGCTGGTGACTCATGCCTGTGATTCTAGCACTCTGGAAGGCTGAGGCAGGAAGATCTCAAGTTTCAGCTCAGCCTGGACAACTTAGCCACTTAGTGAGACCCTATCTCAAAAATAAAGCAAACCGGCGGGGGATGGAGCTCAGTGCAAAGGCCCTGAGGTCAATCCCAGTACCACGACACAACAGGCAAGACTAGGATTTGAACCTGGTCTATCAAGGCCCCAGGGGCCCAAGGCCTTGGCCCAAGGTCCCTGCCACATCACCAATTTCTTGTCTTGCAGATGCGGAGCAGAGTGGCAGTCCCCGAGCGGGGATGGGCTCGGAGCAGGAGGACAGCAAGCCCATCACTCTGGGTGAGTTCAAGGCGCCGGCAGCTGGGCAAGGTCGCTCTCAGGATGCGGCTGAGCGGCCAGGCCGAGCGGGTGCGACAAAGGCCGTCCTGTCACCCCTCCGCTCCACAGCCTGCCCTCCCCGCAGCGGCCAGCAGGGGGCGCCGCGAGCACCGAGCCGGTCCTTCCTGCCCTGCCCTCACCTCTCCCGGCTCCCACGGTGGATCCCCGCCTCCGGTCGTGCAGCTCCCTTGCACGCCCCTTGCTTGCCTTCCGGTCAGCTAACTGTGCATCTTTTTTTTTTTTTTTTAACTGTGCATCTTGCTCCATCTCCCTAGGCTGTGCTCCAGCGGCCGCGGCCCTCTGTTTTGTCTCCTCCCGAGGAAGTTAATGGTTGCGTATGTGTTTGTGTGGGTGCTCAGCACCGGCCTAGGCGTTCCCTTATTCCCCCCAAAGGGTGTCCCCTCCACAGGGGCGGAGTCTACCTGCTTGCCCGTCCCCTAGATCCCTGAGAGGAGGCCTGGCACGCAGCAGGTGCTCAGGTTCTGTGGGAAGAGAGGGAGGAGGAGGGGCAGAGAGAAACGGGAGCGCTGGGCAGGAGAAAGCTCCAGCCTCGCAGGCGCCCCCTGCAAGCCAGATGTTGGGGAGGCGGGGACAGCGGTGTCTGCCAGAGGAAATCTCGTCCTCTCCCCGCCAGGGAGTCCCCCGGAGACAGCTGGGCGGGCCCAGCACAAACAGGAAACCCCGGCTGGCCGCAGGGAGGGCAGCGAGGCCACGTCCACGCCAGCTGCCCAGCTGGGTCAGCAGGAAACGCTCCGGCCACTTCCCCTAGGCTCCCGGACAGCCACCGCCCTGCCGTCCCTGAGATGTCCGCAAATGATATGAAGCGCCCGCCTGGGGTCCTGGGGACCCGGGAAGCTGAGGCAGGAGGGTCCTGAGTTTGAGACCTGACCTGGGCACTTTCGTGACTTAGTACGACCCTATCTCAAAACATAAAGGCTGTGGGTGGAGCTCATGTGGAAGCCCTGGATTCCACCCCCAATACAGCAGGGAGGGAGAGAGAGGAGGAGGAGGGAGGGATAAAGAGGGGGAGAGGGAGAGAAAAAAGAAGGGAACGAGGGAAGGGGAGGAAGGGAGGGAGAGCATGCTATAGTCCGTGCTGCCCCCTGGGGGCCAGGACAGGAACTGTCTCCACCAAAGTGACAAAGCCATGAGCTGCCAGTCCCTCTGTGGCTGGGGCCCCACTCTCTGGCTTTCAGCTTGCCCAAGGCCTTCGACCTCAGGACCTTAGCACGGGCCATTCCTGCTGTCCACAGTGAGATAGAAAATCATCACGTTTAAAAGCCTGCTGTCGGGGGGCCAGGGAGATAGTTCAGTAGAATAAGCGCTTGCCTGCCAAGGTCAAAGCCCTGAGTTCAATCCCCAGTTCCGCAAAAAATTAAAAAAAAAAAAAAAGCCTCCCATCTATGAGACTTTGAGTTCAATTCCCAGTACAAAAAAAGAAAGAAAGAAAAGCCTCCCATCTAGCTAGATGCGGTGACCCACACCTGTAATACTAGCAGGCAGAAGGCTGAGGCAGGAGGATCTCAAGTTTGAGGCCAGCCTGGGAGTCCCAGTCTCAATAAGAACAAAACAAAGCAGGGCGGGGGAAATAGCTCAGTAGAATAAGTGCTTGCCTGGCAAGTGCAGGGTCCTGAGTTCAATGCCCAGTACCAAAAAAAGAAAAAAACAAGAAGAAAAACAGAGCAGCTCCTGACTCGATGGGTGTCGGCAGGTGCAGTGCTCCCTGCTTCACAGATTCTAGATTTCTTCTTCTCTGCCTGCTCCGGCACTCTGTGGCGCTGTCAGGGAGCCCCACCCACTCTGAGCTCTCTCTGTGAAAAGGCTCTGTCTGCCTCTCCACCCTCCCTTGTCCCTCTTCGGACTTCTCAAGCTTTTATTTTTTAAAAATTCACTGTGACTGGGCCAGGGAGATGGCCCATTAGAATAAGCGCTTGCCTGGCAAGCACAAGAGCCTGAGTTCAATCCCCGGTTCCACCAAAAAAAAAAAAAAAAAAAATCACTGTGACAAAACGCACATCCTGTAGGTTACCACCTTTGCCCTCTTGAAGTCTACGAGTTAATGTCATTGAGTATAGTCACAAGGCTGTGCAGCCATCACCACTGTGTAGTTCCAGAACATTCCACTGCCCCAGTAGGAAGCCCTATCTGTGCCCATGAGCTGTCTCCCTCGACATGACACTCCTGAGTCCACTTCCTGTCTCTGGGGTGGCCTGTCCTGGGCATCCATGCTTCACGGCAGTCCCAGTCTTCTTCCCGGCGGGGTGCTACTCCACGTGGCTGGGCCTCGCTGCATCTGTCCTGTCCGCAGTGTGCACTGCACACTTGTTGGCTGTGTGTCGTGACTCGGGCAGGGCAGGGCTATTCCAGGATGCCCAAGTTTGGTGGCAGCTCTGGCCCAGCTTTGGGGATCAACCAGTCTCCAGACCCTAGAAGTAGGTCCCCATCAGCGCAGGTTCTGCTGACCCCGCTCTCTCCATTCCAGACACGACTGATTTCCAGGAAAGCTTTGTCACCTCTGGTGTGTTCAGTGTCACCGAACTTATCCAAGTGTCTCGGAGTAAGTGTCCCTGATGTCCCTGTGCTGGGAGGGGAAGGCTCAGAGGTTTCCCTGTCCCCACCCCCGGATCCTAGGAACGGAGCTGACCAAGCCTGCCTGAGGGCCCATGCTCAGCTCACACACCCCAGGCTGCCCGCTCCCAGAGCCCTGCAGAGGGGGCTGAGGAAGGAGCATCACAGTGTCCACCCAGCCCGGGCAGCTGGGGGACAATGAGAATAAATAATAAAACTAGGAAGAGCGAGCTCAGGGCAAAGGCCCTGGGTTCCATTCCCAGTGCTGTAAAGACAAGGATAGACAGATGTCAAGACGTCCCAAAGCCTCCGTCTGCTGGCCACTTCCCTCCTGTCCTCCACCTTGCCATGGCCTTGCTGGGGGCTGCACCTCCTGGATGCCCCTGGCCTGAACCCGCCCAGCGCCCACCCTGTCAGAACCTGGCCTCCACCACAGGCTTGACCTCCACCTTGCACTTGGCCTCCTTCTGCAGCCTTTTTGATCCATAGGCAGAGGCAGGCTTGGGCCACAAGAGCCAGCCAACTGGGGAGCGCCCCCCACCCCAGTTTGGAAGAGGCCTCGGAAGGCCCTCTGCAGCCTCCCTCATGCGCCTCTCCCTTGCCCTGTTCAGCACCCGTAGTGACCGGAACGGGTCCCAACTTCTCTCTGGGAGAGCTTCAAGGGCACTTAGCCTACGACCTGAATCCAACCAGCACAGGCATGAGAAGAACGCTCCCCAGCACCTCTTCCAGCGGGTATGTTGCCCAGGCCTCTGAACACTGCATGGTCCCACCCACAGGCCCACTCCCCGTACCCACAGCTGGCTCAGCCCTCCCCTAGAATACCTGTTTTCTCATTCCACCAGGGACTCCTATTCATCCTTTAAAACCCAACCCCAGTACCCCTTTTCCCTATCCCTGGTAGCCCACTTGGGCAAGTCCTGCTGGCCCAGCCAGCCCTTGGGAGTCACCTGAGAACGCAGTCGCAGACTTCTGCTGAGATACCCCTTCAGGGAGTTGGTCACATTGCCTCAGTTTCCCCATCTGCAAAATGAGATGGTAATCCTTCAGGGCAAGCAACCTGGATTTTAATTTGTACCCTGTTAATTTGCAGTGGGACCTTAGTAGAACCCCTCCCGCCTCTGTCCCCAGGTGTCCCGGGTGTCCCGTGAGTCCCGTGCGTCCCGTGCAAATAACAGGCAGGTTGGAACAGGTGTTAAGGGTGAACAGGCTGAAAGGCCTTGGCTCTCATGATATCTCGCGATAGTACCTCCTAGTCCCGCTCCTCCCGGAACCGGAAGTTAGCAAACCCCGCCGTCAACCTGTCTCCATGGTAACTGTCGTCTCCCTCACCCTTTAGGAGCAAGAGGCACAAATCGGGGTCTATGGAGGAGGACGTGGACACGAGCCCCGGCGGCGACTACTACACTTCGCCTAGTTCTCCCACGAGTAGCAGCCGCAACTGGACAGAGGACATGGAAGGAGGTAGGGCTGACGGCCGGAGATGAGGGAGCTTGCCTTCCGGTCGGGGTTACAGCAACTAGGACTACATATCCCGGCAAGCACTGCGCGAGCGTTTCGCGTAGGAAGCCGACCCGGAGCTCAGGAGACTCATGGGAGTTGTAGTCGCAGTGGCTGCGCGCATTTGGAAATGAAGTTTAGGCTCACGCGTTCTCCCAGCTCTTTGGTTCCGCTCAGGAGGAAAAAGTGCAGAACCTTTCCCTTGGTGAATTTTCCTGCCCCTTACTGTTAAATCTTCTTGTCTTTGGGGTTCCTGAGCCCAAAGACTCAGGAAAATTAACTCAGAGATTCGGATCAGCAGAGTGCTTTTTCCTGGGGCCTCTATAGAATGTCATTTAGGGATACCCACTTCGTCTGTGGTCTGGAGTCCACCGCGTCCCTTTCAGGGAAGCTTGGTCCTGTGGCTGGCTGTTCCGGAGTCGGCTCCAGGTGATCTTTGCGCGCACCTCCTGCTGCGTAGGGTCGCTTTTCTGTTCAAGGATAGTTTCTTGGACTTCTCTGTTAACTTACTATCTCTGTCAGGGATTTCTCCAAAGATTTCCCTTTGGGGTTCTAACCTCCACCCTAGTTCTCATCTGAAAGAATCCCTTGACCTTACAATTCTGCCTTCTGCCAGGCGTGGTGGCGCTCGCCTGTCGTCCCAGCGCTGCAGAGCCCGAGGCGTGCGGATCGCTAGAGTTCCAAGGCCAGCCTGGAACTGGGTAGTGAGACTGTTCTCAAAAAAAACAAAACAGGGCCAGGGAGATGGCTCAGCGGAATAAGCGCTTCCCTGGCAAGCACAAGGGCCTGAGTTCAATCCCTGATTCCACAAAAAAA